CAGGAAGGCGTAGAGCAGCGGGTTGAGGCAGCTGTTCGCGTAGGCCAGGCAGGTGGCGTAGGGGTGCAGGCGCACGACGAGAGCCCGCGCGGGGCACGGCAGCGCCAGCACGCCCAGCCTGCCGAGCACGTGGAGGCTCTTGAGCGCGTGGAAGGGCAGCCAGCAGAGCGCGAAGACGGCCACGAGCGCGGCCAGCAGGCGCAGCAGGCGCCGCCGCCGGCCCCGGCCCGCGGCCCCGACGGGGCGGCGCACGGCGCGGCCCACGCGGCAGTAGAAGGCGCCCATGAGCCCCGCGGGCAGCGCGAAGCCCAGCAGCGTGGTGGCCAGGCTCAGGCCGCCCAGCCAGTAGACCTCGTGCTCGGGCGCGGCCGCCACGCCGCTGAAGTCCACGTCGCACACCGTGAGGTTGGCGGGCGGCCGCGCGCGGGTGTCGCGCAGCAGCAGCGCGGGCAGCGCCAGCACCGCGGACAGCAGCCAGAGCGCGGCCAGCGCCGCCCGGGCCCCGGGGCCCCGGCCCCGGCCCCGGCCCACGGCCCCGGGGCCCCGGCCCACGGCCCGGTAGCGCTCGAAGCTCAGGCCCGTCAGGCAGAAGGCGCCCGCGAACATGGTGAGCAGCACCAGGTAGCTGCTGAGCTTGCAGAGCGCCGCGCCGAAGGGCCAGTGGAAGCGCAGCGCCGTGTAGGCGGCCCACAGCGGCAGCGTCACCACGAAGGCCAGGTCCGCCGCGGCCAGGTGGCCCAGGTAGGCGTCCGAGGGGCGCCGCCCGGCGCCGGGCGCCCGCCACAGCGTGACGATCACCGCGCCGTTGCCCGACAGGCCGAGCACGAAGACGAGCGCGTAGAGCAGGGGCAGCAGCGAATAGGACAGCTGCCAGTCCTCCGCCTCGTCGCCCTCGCCGCCGCACGTCGAGCCGCCGCTGCCGTTGTAGTAATCGTAGTAGTAGTAGTAGTAGTCGTCGTCGGGCGCGGGGCCCCGGGGCTCGGCCGTCCAGGGCTGCATGGCTGGCGGTCACCGGAGGCCGGCCGGCCGGAGGCTGTGGACGGCGGGCCCCATCTCAGCTCTATGAAGAGAGGCGGCCCCCCCCCCCCCCCGCCGCCACTGTCCCCACCCCTTCGGGGGAAGGGCGGAAGCCTGCGACCACCCCCAGCCAGCTTCCCCCAGCCCTGTCCCCACCCCACCGCCCCGCTCCGGCCTCATTCAGACTCCGCCCTTGCCTGTGGGAGCCCCTTCCTCCCCCCCCTTCCTCCCCTCCAGCCTCCACACCTTCTCCCCCTCCCCGATTTTCCCCTGCCCTCTTTGTTCCTCCCCTCCAGCCTCCACGCCTTCTCCCCCTCCCCGATTTTCCCCTGCCCTCTTTCTTCCTCCCCTCCAGCCTCCACACCTTCTTTCCCTCCCCGATTTTCCCCTGCCCTCTTTCTTCCTCCCCTCCAGCCTCCACACCTTCTCCCCGTCCCCGATTCCCCTGCCGGGGCTGGAGGACTATCTCAGGGAAGGAGGGAGGGAGCCCCGACTGGGTCCTGCCGGGCTCCCGGAGATCCCCGGCCGCCGCTGCCCTCTCCCCTTAACCCACTCCGAGCCCGCTTCCTCACCTTCTCCCGGCGTGTCTCGGCCTCTTCAGCGCAGCTACTTTCCTTCCCTGAACCCCCTCCGAGTCCGAGGCAGTCGGGGGCCCTGGCATGCACACCCCCGTCCCGTCCAGCTTCCTGCCTCGGAAGACACCCGCCCAGGTCCTTAACCTCTGTCCTGAGGTCCCAGCCCTGCTGCCCGTCCCGTCCCGTCCCGGACGTCTCGGCTCTCTCCCTTCCCTCACGCGCGCTCCTCCTCCGACGTCCCCTCTCCTACGGAGCCCTCATCCTTCCTCTTCTCACCGATGCCCCCACACCTTTCTCGCGTCCCCCACATCGCCAGCTTCCTCCTACCCCTTCACATGCAGCCCTCCTTTCCTCCAGCCGTTCTTCCCTGGCTCCCACTGCCTCTTATCCGTCTCTCCCTCTCGGGCACCCTTCTCCCTCTCCCCCAACACTCCAACCCTCCACCAGTACACAATCCCCTCCCTCCCTCCCCGGGATCCACACACCTACTTAACGCTGTGTCCTTTCGTCTTTAGATCCGGGCTCTGCCAATCGCCCACCCATGTGACCCCAGACAAGTCGCTTACTCTTTGAGCCACGGTTTCCTCTTCTAGAAAATGAAGGGGCTGGACAACACGACCTCGGAGGTCACTTCCAACCCTGGGTCTATGATTCTGTGGATGCTCTGGGCCTCAGTTTCCCCCTTAAGTCCAGTATGCTCCCTCTCTGCACACTCACCTTCCCTTCTTTCTCACGCGGTTTCACACACCTCCCCCTTCCTTTCCTGAGCCATTTGTCTCTGAAGTCTGTCAGAGAAGAGAAGCCCCCCCCCATCCCCACCCCCACCCAAGGGGCTGTGAGAGCTTGTCAGTGTTTTCCCAGAGCCCAGAGAAATGTTTTCCTTCTCCTTGGGGGTGTGTTTTGCTGGCACATTCACAGGGAGAGCTGCAGCCCGTCCCCCCCGCCCCCCTCTGGGAGCTGGGGATTCTTATGATAAGAGATGGATCCAGATCCAAACCAAAGCATCCCCCCATCGAGGGAATTAGGAGTGTTTGTTCAATGGGGGCTGGAGGGACTGGGGACCGGCTAGCTCTGGCCCAGCCCCCTTCCCAGTCCCTGGCTATAGGAGAGGCTGGGAAAGGGGCTGGGTAGGGGGCTGGCCTGTCCACCGTGAGAAATCACAGGGGAACCCAGCAGCTAAGCGGAAGCCAAACTTGGCATTAGCAGCTCTTAATGTAGGAGAAAGAGCCCTAAACCTCTGATCGTAGCTCAGGAACTATGATCTCTATGAAAGAGTGCTGGACCTGCAGTCAGGAAGACCCAAGTTCAAATGTGGCCTCAGCCCCTTACTAGCTGTGGGAATCACTTCACCTCTTGTTTGCCTCAGTTTCCTCAACTGTAAAATGGGGATAATAATAGCACCTTCAACGGGGTTGTTGTGAGGATTAAATGAGATACTATTTGTAAAAAGCACATTGCAGGAGCTATGTAAATACTTATCTTCTCTAGAGCTGGCCATCTTATACTCCTGTTTAACAAATGGGGAAACTGAGGCCCAAAGAGAAGTAGAAATCTTAGATAAATTTTACAGATGATCATACTGAGCATCAGAGGAAATAACTTACCCAACATCAGCAGGACAGGAACAGGGCGTGTGATTTCACCGGTATAGGGTTACCTCTGGATGAGGGGACTCCTATTCCTACTAATGCAATTCAACATCTCTGAGATACTGAGATGAGACACTGAGTCAGTCAGTCAACAAGCATTTATGAAGCATTTCCTATGGATCAGGCACTGTGCTAGGCACAGAGGATACGAAGAAAGGCAAAAATCTGTCATCAATGAGCTCACATTCTAATTGGGGAGACAACTTGGGAAAAAAAGTGTACATGCAAGATATCTATATTATCTCTCTCTCCATCCTTCTATCTATCTATCCATCCACCGATCCTTCCATCTGTCTATCCTCTTTCTCTCTCCCTTCCTCCCTCCCTCCATCCACCCATCCTTCTTTCCTTCCATCTATCTATCCATCCATCTAATCCATCTATCTATCCAACTATCTATCTACCTATCCTTCCATCTCTCTCTCTCTCTCTCTCTCTCTCTCTCTCTCTTCCCCCTTGTGGAAGGTATCTCAGAGGAAAGGCATGAGTAGCAGGAGGGACCAGGAAAGCTTCTTGCTGAAAGTGGGATTTTAGTAAAAACTTGTAGGAATCCAGGGAAAGCCGGAGGTGAAGGGCATGAAGAGGGTTCTAGCCACTGGGGGAGAGCCAGCAAAAATGCCCAGAGTGAGGAGGTGGAGTGTCTCGTTTGAGGAACACCGATGTGGCTGGTGTTATCAGATGCCTAGAGCATGTGTGTGTGTGTGTGTGTGTGTGTGTGTGTGTGTGTGTGTTGGGGGCAGGAGGGAGGGGAGGAGGAGTAAGATATCCCAAGACTGGAAGAAAGGAAAGGGGCCAGGTTATGAGGCCAAACTGAGGATTTTCTATTTGATCCTGGAGCTAACACGTTGCGGATCAGCAGCGAGGTAGGGGCTAGATAAGTCCATCTGAGCTTCATCAGTCCAGAGATAAGCATTGAAACCATGGGAGCTGATGAGACCACAGACGAAGAGAAGCCAGGACAGAGCTGAGGGGACACCCTCAGTTAGTGAGTGTGACCAGCGACGAGACAGGGGAGGAGGGGTCAGACAGGCAGGAGGAGACACGTAACAACAACAAGGACCTGGAAATAAGGTATTTGCCTCTGAGCTCGGCCACTTCCTGCCTGTCACCTCTGTGGTCCTCGCATATGCCCAGCCAGTGGTGATGTCTGTAGTGCTGCTTTGTCTTGGGAGCAGGTTCTATCACTGAGGGTGCCTCGAACTGACCCTAGATTTCCTGGGATCGTGCCTCATGATGTCTGCTGACTCTCCATGACCTCATTTGGGCTTTTCTTGGCGAAGACACTGGAGTGGTTTGCCATTTCGTTCTCCTGCTAACTTTGCTGGTGAGGAAACGGGGTGAAGTGACCTGCCCAGGGTCACACAGTTAGTAGGTGTGTGAGGCCGGATTTGAACTCAGGGAGATAAGTGGTCCTGACTCCAGGCTCTATGCACTGTGGCACCACCTAGCTGTGGAATCTTGGAAGCTGCCCAGAAGGGCTGAGAAAGATAAAACATTCTAGGCTCTCAGGGAGCGTTCTGGCCAAAATGTTGTTGCCCAAACTTAATAATGGGCAGCTAGGTGGCACTGCAGCGGATAGAACACCAGCCCTGGAGTCAGAAGGACCTCAGTTCAAATCTGACTTCAGACACTTACTAGCTGTGTGACCCTGGGCAAGTCACTTCACCCTGCCTGCCTCAGTTTCCTCATCTGTAAAATGAGCTAGAGAAGGAAATGGTAAACCCCTCCAGTATCTCTGCCAAGAAAACCCCAAATGGGGTCCCAGAGAGTCAGACATGACAGAACAACATTAGCAGACGTTGTTAGGCATGATCCAGGCAATGTTCTAGGCACTGTGCTAGGTGCTAGATCCCAGCTCTGATGCTGTGTGCCCTTGGGCACCTACCTAGCTTCTCTGGGCCTCAGTTTCCTCATCAGTAGAGGAATGCGGCTGGACTAGATTGTCCCTAAGGGGCCCCTGCACAATCTGCCCCAGCTCTCCTGATGCCCAGCCCTGGCCCAAGAGCTCAGCTTTGATAGAAAATATTCCCACCTCAGACATTTGCTAGCTGTGTGAGCCCAGGCAACCCTCTGAGCCTCGGTTTCTTCACTTGTTAAAAGGGGATAAGGATGGCATCTGCCTCACAGGGTGGTTGCAGGGCTCCAGTGAGATAACCCATGTCAAGGACTAGATACATGTAAGTTATCATTATCCTTAAACCAAGCTCAGATTGGCTCCCCGCAGCCATCCCTCCTCCCCCAAGGCTGAGCTTGGAATTCCCAGAATGCCCCATTTCTCCATCCTGCTGGGGCTGGGGCAGCCCCAGGCCAGCAGGTCATGGTCCTTCCTTTGTCCCGACTCCCCAGGCTGCACTCACGCTCTGTCAACAGCTCTGCCCCAGAGACTCCGCAGAGGGGCCGCCCCAGGGGGTGCCCCGATCCAGCCAGCTGCCGCTCCGGTAGCCACCCCCATCAGGCCCCTTCCCCCTCAGCTGCCAACAAGGCACAGAGCAACCCAGCTGGGAGGAAGCCCCCACGAAGAGGCTTTCCTTCGGGTGATCCTTCTGCCTGACCCCAGCTGGGCCCCAAGGAGCAGGAAGCAGGGGCCAGGCGAGGGAAGGGTTCCTGGAGGGACGGCTGAGGCCGGTGGCCCGTGCTGACCCGTCCTGGCCCTCGGACGATTGGCCCCCACAGCTGCCAAACACCTCTTGATGGGGGCATCTGGGCCTGGAGAGGAAACCGGGGCTTGAGATCAGCTGAGGCCCAGCCCTTCCCCAGG